GTATTCCGGACAGTTATTGTATTTCATTTATTTCTCCTAGTGATTTGCTCATGCACTTGTAACACCGGGTTCTGGGGTGATTATGGGATATTTAATATTGAAAGTTGTAAACACTTTTATTTATTCAGTGATGATTACTTTTTACTAGTTAAATTAAAGGAAATTATGGTTCCTAACATATTAAAAAGAGAGTTAAATTAATTATTTAATGTTGGCTTGCCTGACCGAGGTGTCCGGCGTCATCACGTCCTTTGATGGATTTTGGGTCCTGACATTCTATAAGTATAGCTACAAATGATAAATACAGTGTATACGTTTGTTGTGTTGCATAATTTTTCCTATCCATAACTAATTACAATAAAATATATTTATTTAAAAAATTAAAATTATAAATGACCCTTATATATAATAAAAATTATCCACAATAGAACTTCGTCGAAGTAAGAAAATTTAAGATAATTTTGAAGTGGAAGAATAATAAACTAAAATAAAATGAGATATTCCTATATAATAAAATAAACGAAAAAGAGTTAAAAATGCCCCTAAATTATTGAAAGAGATTTAAAAATAGCCTCCATTCACCTATTGGGTTAAAAATGCCTCTTCATCCACCTTTTTGGTTCACTTATGCCCTTTGACCGTTAGGTCAATATTGAATTAAAGATAATAATAATTATTTAAATTCCATGTGGCAACTTCATATTGGCCAAAATTAAAACATCTAACCCATTAGAAAGACCCACCCATATCTAGCATATTTTCGTACTAACCCGCCTCAAACACTAACCCGAACCGAACAAAAAGTTTAACCCAAAAAAAAGGCCCCACTTCTATCAAACTCCATGGAACAAAAGCTCCATGGAAGTTGCAGCGAACATATAGACACAAATTTACTACGTGGTTTTCTTTTTCTTGTTATGGCATCCAGTTCAATTTACATGATAGACACAAATTGCATTATATTCAAGATGAGTTTAATTTAATCATCTTCATATCACGAAAAGATCTCAAAGTGATTGTTTGGAAGATATTATAAACCGTTGGACTACCCCTAGTTTTCCGTCTCACATTATTGTCAAGAAAACCATTGGCTCATTCATGCTAGACTTTTCTTGTTTGTTTAATTTGTTCATGAACCTTTATTCGATGATAATGATATACATGAGATTAATCAAGAAATTAGAGATTTGTATATGTGTGTTATTTTGTGCTAGTTAATCATTGCTTTTGCAACATAAATAATACTTTTAAACTATAATATGCATACACAAAGAGTTGATATTCCGGTTGAAAAATAATGCAATATAATATCAATTTGAAACAGGATGTAAACCTTTAGAACTCCATTCAACTTTAATTTATGTCAAAATAAAAAAATTTGACTCTCAAAATCCGAACATAAAATAAATTGAGAGGGAGGAAGTATTACTTTTAATTTCATACTAGTTAATTAAAACTGTTCATTTTAAGCAATCTTGATATTTTGAGAATCCCATAAGAACCATAATCGTTTGCCATTTCTCCATTTCCCAAATGTCTAGCAGGACTAAATGGATTGCATAAGGCATAAGCCAATCCAAAAATATATATGATGAAAATCTCCTTTTCAAAAGCTTCAAAAATCGCTTAACCTAATGAAAATGAAAGAGCCAAATTCCGTATTAAATCAGATTTGCCCAGGACCGCTCTTCTTGGCGATTGCGAAAAAACCTCGCGATCGCGAAAGCCAACTCCTCCCTGTTGCCCAGTTACCCTTCGTGTTCGCGACCTCCCGACCGCGTTCGCATGAGCCTCTCGCATTCGCGAAGAGAAAAACAGGGGCCCTTCACCAGCCTTCTTCGCGATCGCGATCGCGGCACTACCTTCGCGATCGCGAAGAAAACCAGCAACAACAAATCATCCAAACTTGGTCTGAAACTATCACGAAACACACCTGAGGCCCTCCGGGACCCCGTACAATCATACCAACTAGTCCCAAGACATGACACGAACCTGCTCGAGGCCTCGAATCATACTAAGCACATCCAAACTATGAATCGACGATCAAAATCCTTCTTTTTAACTTTCAAACATTCCAACTTTGACGAATGCGTCCGATTCATACTTAAACATTCCGGAATGACATCAAACATTACGCACAAGTCATAAATCACGATATGAACCTATTTCAAGGCTCGAAACCTCAAATGGACATCGATAATACCAAAGTCCAATTCAAACCAAACTTAAAAAATTCCAAAACCTTCAAAATGCCAACTTTCCATAATAAGCGCCGATATGCTCCCGGACCACCCGATACTCAACCCGAACATATGCCCAATTCCGAAATCATCATGCGAACCTATTGGAACCTTCAAATCCCGATTCCGAGGTCATTTACTCAAAATCAAACCTTAGTCAACTCTTCCAACTTAAAGCTTCTGAATTGAGAATTTTTCTTCCGAATCAACTCCAAACTTCCCGAAATTCAATTCCGACTACGCGTACAAGTCATAAATATGATGTGAAGCTACTTGAGGCCTCAATCCGCCGAACGGTGCGCTAGAGCTCAAAATGGCCGGTCGGATTGTTACATTTTCAACCGAAAAAGGATATTTTCTTTTTAGTTATGGAGCATAAATTTCAACATTATTTTTGCGTAAAAAAGTAAGTAGCATATTAGTTTCTTTGGGTTTGTGTGAATTTTTAGAAGAATAAGTAAATTCTTGAAGAAAATAGTCCTCAAAACATTGGGTATTTTTTTGGGGGTTGGGCGGTAGGTGGGGAGGTGGAGCACAGGAAACATGGGGACTTGGGGGAAGGGGATGAGGAGAGTAGTATAAAAAATTACTTTCCCAAAAAATATTTTCTACCCTCTAATCAAATACAAAAAATTTTTGAGTATATTTGCATATTAATTCTTGTGTGTGTCACGGGAGATTACATGTTTTTCAAAGTGAAATATACTCATTATGTGTTTCTTATGTGTAGGAACGAGTTTGGATGATAAATGATAAAAAGATGACAATTCGACACAAAAAGAAGAAATTAAAGGAGTGGGAGCTCGTCTATTCTCGTGTGTGGCACGATGTCGGACGCGAAAAAGGAGAAAAGTTAAGGCACAAAACAGCGAAGCGAAGCAAAGGCACGGAGCGCTTCGCGAAATGGAAGAATTTCAAAAGCTGGATCCGCGTCAAAGTCCGCGTCTAGACGCGAAGGCAAACGCGGATCCGCGTCAAAGTCCGCGTCTAGACGCGAAGGCAGACGCGGATTCCAGCTCTCCCATCCGAAGTTGGATTGAAGAATTCCGCCCCTCATCAACCCTAGGTCATATAAATACATCCTAAAACACCACTTTGAAGGGAGAGACACTACTTTAGGGTTAGACAACACTCTTGGAGGCAAGAACATGCTAGGAGCAAGGAGGAAGATTCAACTACGAGTTTTTCCCCTTCTTCTTCCTATTTTATTGTTGGTTATGAATTGGAGTATTGTGTTTTCACATACTTTTATGAAAAGGTAATTCGTTTTCTAGGGTTTTGATGGAACCTTTTGGGGATGAATTGGTTGTTATATTAATATAGTTTTGAGTTAGTTGTTAATCTCTATTTGTTCAACTACGTTTTGATTTTGGTTAATTGAAAGGATCCTCAATTAGCCGTTCCTATTTATTATGTATCTGCTTGAGAGAGAGTGTATATTTAGGTAGTTGTTTGAACAACATCACTCCCGGAGTATAGGCGAGAGTCATAACCAAGGGTTTAGAGGTTGGATTAGAGATAACGATACCTCGGGTGCGATCTAAGTGAACTGTAATGTGAATCTAGCTAGTGTAGCTTGAGAGAGTGCGTTTAGTAAATTATCATAATTGCTTGAGAGAGATTTATGATAGCTGGAGAGTTCATGATTGATAGAGGCAACTAAGTCAAAGCTATAAGAAACATACAATTAATGAAATCAACAATTGGGGAAATCATAACTCTAGACCTCCTTAATTTAGTCTCCAAACCTTTGTCTCGTTAGTTGATAATTTTACCATTTTATAGTATTTGTTGGTTAATTAGTTAGATATAAAAATCTTAATATTATAATTTAGAAATTGTTCAAACTTGTCTTCTTTGCAATATTGAACAATTACAGCGAAACCTTAGTTCTCTGTGGGATTCGACTCCGGACTTTTAGACCGGATTATATTTGCAGCGACCGCTTATCCTTTTTAGGACTAGAGTTGGGCGTGATTAATTATGCACGTCAATCATGAACAAATACAATCGATTGTATGGTTAGTAATTTTACATTTTTTCACTCTATTAGATTTAATTTTATTTATTTTATAATGTTGTATCAAATTGCGTTTGTTCCAATTTATGTGATATAATTGAATTTTGGAAATTAAATGAGTTTTTAATCATAATTTATTTATATGCTTTTTAAATATTTAAATTATTAATTACCAAAATTATTGTCAACTACCTCTTACCTGTAACTCCGATATTCCTTCTCACTTTCTCCAATAACGATGAACCCTTCCCCTCCAACCCCCCCCCCCCCACCCCACCCACCCACCCAAAAAAAAAAAAGAAAAAAAAAAACTAAACCCTCATCACCCGTGAAATGAACACTACAATAGGTAACGATAGATGTAGCAATTTAACGAACCTTAATGAGTCAAACAAATGATACTGCGGAGGACTCCGATTACAATGTGATACGCAAATGCTCCCTCTGTTTATTTTTGTCGCTTTTGACTTTATGTTCCTTTTAAGAAAAAGTTAATGAAATATACAATTATAATCATATTAATGATAGTATTTCAAAAATAAAAATATATTTTTAATATAATATAATAGATAAGTAAAAGTATCTTAGGGAGTAGGGTAATGATGTAACATAGAGTTGCAGAATCTTTTTAATCAGAAGTTTAATACTTTTCGAAGGTAAATCTTTCATTAATTACAGTCTTGTTTGACTCTCATCTTGATTTCCTTATTAGTCCACCCCAAATCTTTCTATCATTCTGTTTTAATAAATTCTTCAAACCTCATTCTTCTCTCTCTCTCTCTCTCTCTCCTATTAGTCCCCATACGCCCAATCTCTCTCACTCTTTCTCATCACCCATTTCCTTAATCAATCATCATTTTCCTTCTGTAAAAACCAAAGCCAAAGAAGCCCCACAAATGTAAAACCGCTATCCTCCAACAGTCCTTTCAAGAAAACCATTAGATTCCCATAAATAAAGGGCTTAATGTTCCATATTCCTTCATTCCCACCATTTTTTCCTCATTTCTTCTTTTCTCCATTTCCACAACCCAAAAAAATAAATCAAATCTTTCACAAAGATGGGTGGAAAAAAGGAGGAAATTTTTAAACTCTAACACTTAGTTTTTTTTTTCAATAAAATCCAAGAAAGTTGCTTATTTTGCCTTGAAAACAAGAGATACCCAAATTGGGGTATGCTCAAATCTCCAAGATTTCCCTAGAATATATGTCCCAAATGAAGCACATTGACAATATCCCATCAACTCCTGGAAAGTTCAAGGAAAAATCCCCTTACAATAGGCTAAGGCTCCATTTTTCTTTAACCAAGCTCACATTTTGGTCATTTGTGTTCTTGGGGTTGATCTTTGTATTCTTTTTCAGATCACCATCTTCTTCTTCTTCATCCCCTGCAGCTTCAGATCTCTCAAGAAGATCTCTGAGAACCAACTCTTATGATGGTCCAGCTTGGGAGAAAAGGATTAAAGCCTCAGCTAAAGTCAGGTCACATTCTGGTATTTCGGTTTTGGTAACTGGTGCTGCTGGTTTTGTTGGGACACATGTCTCGGCTGCCTTAAAACGTCGCGGTGATGGCGTTGTAGGGTTGGATAATTTCAATGATTATTATGATCCAACCCTGAAAAGAGCCCGGCAAGCTCTGTTAGAGCGTGCCGGGGTCTACGTTGTAGAGGGCGACATCAATGATGTCGCCCTTTTGAAGAAATTATTTGACATTGTTCAATTTAGTCATGTTATGCATTTGGCTGCACAAGCTGGTGTGAGGTATGCCATGGAAAATCCTGGCTCATATGTGCATAGTAACATTGCTGGTTTGGTTAATGTTCTTGAAGTTTGCAAAAATGCTAATCCTCAACCTGCTATTGTGTGGGCATCTTCTAGTTCTGTGTATGGCTTGAATACTAAGGTTCCCTTTTCAGAAAAGGATAGGACAGACCAACCTGCTAGTTTATATGCTGCAACTAAAAAAGCTGGTGAGGAAATTGCTCATACTTATAATCATATATATGGGCTTTCATTAACCGGATTGAGATTTTTCACGGTTTATGGACCATGGGGTCGGCCAGACATGGCGTACTTCTTTTTCACAAGGGATATTTTGAAGGGAAAGTCAATTCCCATTTTTGAGGCAGCTAATCATGGGACTGTTGCTAGAGACTTTACCTACATTGATGACATAGTAAAGGGTTGTTTGGCTGCATTGGACACTGCTGAAAAGAGTACGGGAAGTGGTGGGAAGAAGAAAGGCCCTGCTCAATTGAGGGTGTTCAATTTGGGCAACACTTCCCCTGTGCCGGTTTCTGATCTTGTTAGCATTCTGGAGAGGTTGCTAAAGGTAAAGGCTAAAAGATCGGTGATGAAGTTGCCAAGGAACGGTGATGTGCAGTTTACTCATGCAAATATAAGCTTTGCGAAAAGGGAGCTTGGATATAAGCCTACAACAGATCTACAGACAGGATTGAAGAAATTCGTTCGATGGTACCTCAGTTACTATGGCGATGGAAAGAAGAGCGCGCAATGATACATTCTTTCAATTATGTGGTAGGAGTTCAATTTCTTGTTCATTTTGATTCTTGTTATTGTTTTCAGCATACGTGCATTGCCCCCATTTTCTTGCTCTCATATATGATGCGATAAAAGGAGCATATCCCATCCCACGATGAAGTAGTTGTGTGATAGTTGGACATTGTTTTTCTGGCAATTTATTTTGTATCAAATGCAACCTGAAACTAACTTTTGCCACTTCCAGGAATGCCACTGTTGTAGTTTTATAGAATTCATGATTGATAGAAAACTGCTGATTATGGACAGTGGACATGTACCATCTTTATTACATTATAATAAAAGTACCACATGATAGTTCCATATTTGGATTCTTCTTGTGTTTATCACATTTGGTTGGAATGTCTCTAGCATATTGGAGTATGATCTTGTGTTCTAAGGGGTCGTTTGGTATGATGGATAAACAAAAATAATCGTGGGATAAAAAATTTGTACCGCCTTATCTCTTGTTTGGTTATTAAACCTGGGATAAGTTATCATAGGATTAAAAGTAGTACTGGGATAACTTATACCTGCCAAATGGTGGAATAGTAATCCCAGGATGAAACAGTAAAATTGACAATCCTAGGATTAATACAACATACCAAACAGTCAATAAGAAATAACACCAGGATAACTAATTCAAGCATAACTAATCCCACTATAACTACTCTCAGTATAACTAATCCCAGCATAACTTGTCTTCAAAGTTCAAACCAAACGACCCGTAAGTGTGCCGATTTGGTTAATCCATTATGCATTACCATTTAGATATCAATTCCCTTTCTGATCTTTGAATCAATCATTCCCTCTACATGATTTCTGAAGTTAGACATATCTTATTTTGGCTCTCCGATGAAAGATTCTACTATTTTTGAAAGTTAAAAGTTTAGAGTCATTATTTAAGATGATTGCATTGGTTCTTTTTTCTGTTCTTTCTATAGTTTCTTTCTGGAGAGGGGAAAGAAAGAACCAATTGAAGCTGCAAATGCAACATATACCTAACAATGATGCTTTATTGGTAATAGTTGCAACATACACCAAAAATGACAAATTATGAAATCTTTTTTCTTCTGGTAGCACAAGAGAAGAGTGATTACAGGTATCAATTATCATCATCTTGTTAAGAAGCCAGAAGAAGTGAAATCCCAACTCCAGCGCTTCTATCTTTCCCCAGCTAAGTAGTTTGTAGAGGATCAAATGTTCATCCTCTGCGACTTTTTAGGTTTAATGTCTAAAATGTGCTCCTTTTAATTTCGGATACTCTTCAAAAATAAGTAATAGCAGAATGAAAGACAATGTTGTATTGATGTGGACGAGCTTTTTTACAATTTTTTGTTATATCAAAGCAGCTAACAGTAGTATTTGTGATAGCCTTCTCGATACCTTATTGGAGCTTTGTTTAATAGTGCCGGTTTTCCATCAATGTATTGGTTGTTTCTCAGAATCATTAAAGATGTAAAGAGTTAAGACATTCAATAATTGACAGATAATATCCTATATTTCACATCCTTTTCAAATTAATATTTGTACAACATTGTTGCTGGCTTATAACAAATCTTGTCCTCTTCTTCCCAGAATGAACGGCTCCTGTTTTTCACTCTGCCCTTTTACACAATGATGTTGGGGAAAAACAGGACATTGATGTGGAAGAAGGAAATTAGCACATAGTGAACAACTTCTAAATTTTATTTTAGTTACTGCAAAGAACTTGCCCATAAATTTACAAAAAGAATGTCTGGTTTATTGATTAATTAGATGATTAAGTGGTAGGATAGTTTGATGTATTAAATATACCTTGAGATAGGTATAGTTCAATACTATCATAGAATGAGCCATGAAGTGTAAATGAAATGAAACTATTTACTTCCAGAGTGTCGGTTTCTCTTGTTGGAGTTGCTGCAATGCAGTGTGCATAGGCGAAGCTAGATTACTAGCTATGAGTTCGGACAAACCCAGTAACTTTTGCTTATACGTTGTATTTTTATTAGAAAATCTATTTGATATATAAATATTTAATTGCAAACACAGTAACTAAGCCGAGCTATGAATTTAGTGTCAAATTAAGAACCTGGTTTCGCCTCTATCAGTGTGCCAGTGTCCTTGAAGCTATACGTTGTGCACAAAATGACAAAATACAGGAATTCTAAATCTAAATATCCTTTCCAGAAAGGACATGAACACATGTCCTTTGTTCTTGTAATTTTATTCCCTTTTTCCTCGAGCATACTTGGTGATTCCTATTAGCCCTTTCTTTTGGCTTCAGTGGACCATCCACCAGCTAGTTTGATGCTTTGGAAGTTATTCTTTTCTTACATTGAAAGATTTTTGTATCCATAGCGACCGTGCGATGAAAAGAAGAAAGTATGATAGAATAGTAAAATTTAGCATATCACATAAAGATTCTAAATTTGACAAGTCTCTTGAGTTCGACAAGAAGAAAATGAAGAATGGGAAACTACTGGTAGGCCCAATATGAAATAGGCGAAGTGGTTGGTTCTGCGACATGTTCCAACGGGCAGTCAAGATGGGTTGGATACAACAAATGAGCGGGTCATTAACCGGTCCAATTTTGGTCGAGTCAAATGAGTTTCGATGCTGGATGTGATATTTCTAGGATTTTGTTACTAGGTTTTAACTTTTTATTGCCGAAAAATTATCCCTTTTCAGCTTTGTGATGGAGCATAGTTCGTTTTCGTCTATCTGCTTATTGCCTTTGTAAGTAGTTTGCTCTGAGGATGGTCTGTTTGAGTAGTAGTTCCCCTGAGCAAACCGGGACACAAGTTTGTATTGATATTGGTAATACATCTTGCTGACCAAACCATCCATGAAAATCTTGTGGCTGCATCTGTTAATACAAAATACTTAAAACCAGAGTAGCTGCACAAGCCCAGCGTATAATTTGTCTTTTAAGCATAAGCCTGAAGGATTAAAGCACTTAAACACATAAATACCGAATCCCAACATATGCAAAATATGCTAGAGGATTTTTAGAGTTACTCAATACCTGTGTTTATGCCTTAGTAGACAAAATTACCCTATAGGTAGCAAAAGGAAATTCCAGTAAATGATTGAAAGTGACCAATGTAAAATGTTAAGCAACGGTTCCATTCAAACACTTTGTGAAAGGAGGACAAAGGCCATTACTAATTAAACTTACTATCATCTAAAACCACTAGGCACGAATTAACTTCACCAGATAAGATATAATCATAACTGCAGTTAACTGAATGCAGACTGTATTCTTTCTGCTTTTGCAAGTGATATACGGAAATGTAAGCAAGCTCAATCGGGTCTCCAAGGGCAGAAACTTCACTTGACGAGAATTTAAAAACATAGATAAGCAAAAATTATACGTACCATAAATAACAAGTCTCAATGTCAAAATCCTGAATAGGAAACTTAAATGACCCCTATCATCCGCTCGAGTACATAATTTGTTACAATTGAAGTATCCAGGCCATGCCAAAACAACTTAATCTAGAATTTTCAAGATATGACTTGACAAAGCAAGTAGCATCGCATGCCCTGACTTCTCTATGCCACGAGAGTACTGGCAGTGGTAGATTCACTGCAAGGTAAAAACTGAAATTAGTACACAGCAACTCACAAGGAGATGAAAAGGAGGGGGGGGGGGGGGGGGGTAAATAGGAAAACCCAGTATTAAAGTGTCTTTCACATAATTAGATTTGTGCAAACAAAAGAGCTCCAACTTTGCAGATGTCCAACTCACATGACAGGAAAGAGTAAACACTGCTGCTTCTGATTAAAAGTGTTTAACAGCTTTAAAGCTGTGATGGCGATACCATTGAGCTCCATCATAGAATTAAGCCGTTTGCTTAAAAAGATAAAGAGCATGCAAAAATTGTTTTTCAATCTAGGAAACCCCCACCAAAGTAAACCAGAACATGAACAAGCAACCTGACAAAAACCTATACCCTGCTACTTCCTTCCCTACAAAGGACTAATGATGCCATTAGAGGAGTAAGCCGCACAAACATATCCAAGCATCCTGCACCTGTCTGCAAATCTGAACACATAGCACATGGTATGGTATCTTGTATGAAACCAAACCTTAATAATACTCAGCAAATACAATTTGCAGGGTTGGGCAGGAAACATGAAGATTCCCATAAGCTTCTCTCCATTTGCTTTCATTAATATAGAAGAATGTATGTTCATTTGCCAGACTCAAGCAAGAAAAAGAAGTGGTGCCTTCAGCATATATATACTGTAGTAACTATAAACAACCCATTTAAGGACAACTTATCTTGAAACCAAATTCTTTATAGCAAGTGTAAAAATTGTTCTCTGGAACCACACAAGATCTACAACTACAAAAAGTCTATCTATCACTACATTGGAAAGAGAATAACCATAATGCATTGACAGAATCAATATTCTCCAACCAAAATAAACATTTCCACCAAATTTCCAAGGACAGTTCATGCTTAGATAAATAAGTCAATTCATAAAAGCATTGGACATATTCACAATTTCACATATATTTGAAAATATATTATTTGCAAATGCAACATAAAGCTTGATTAAAAAGGTGAATCAGAAGCAATTCACTAGTAGAGTCAAATAGGCAGACTGGACTTACTACTTCCAGACTGGTGGAAGCTTCTTTGTTTTCTTGTAGTAACGAGCAAGTCGGTGAATCCTGCTCTCCACAAGAATCAATCTAAACTTGGAATCTTTGTCTTTCCTGTTTCTTTCAAGATGCTTCCTGATTGCAACTGCTTTCTTGATAAGGTGGTACAGATCCTCGGGAATCTCAGGAGCAAGTCCTAGCAAATTAAGTATCATTATTCTATCAAATATCTCCTTGAGACAACTAATACCAAAAAAACACAAAATATTGAATAGGTACCATGAGCCTTCAAAATTCTGAGAATCTTGCTACCAGTTACACTCTTCACCTGAGCAATGCCATGGGAATCACGAAGAATAACACCAATTTGAGAAGGTGTTAAGCCTTTTTTTGCAAACTTGCAGATGTTATCTTCAACCTGAAACACAAGAGAATGCTGCTAGTTAAGAAACTAGAAATAAGTACAGGACTTTATCCAATCAAGTTACACATTTAAATATTTGGACATAGTTTTGAATTTTAGCAATTTCCAACCAGGTTCTGTACTGAACCTTTCGATCGATGTTCAAACAGACAGAAAAGCTCAACTGATCCTCATGAAGGGAAAAAGCTTGACCGATCCTCATGAAGGGAAGAAGCTCAACCCTTTTTATGAAGAAAACCTCAAATGACCCTGGTGATGGGAAATATAATTTTCTGCTTTCTACTAAATTACAGGAAGCCAAAATGCACAAGCAATTTATATGCCACGTTCTTCAACGTAAAATGGCTCATATCCTTAAAATCACTAACACAAAGGAAGGATCCAGCATTGCCTCTCTCACATTACTTCAATCTTACCTAGCATAGTTGTACCAATTTTTATGAGGGACCTTGTATACCTTGCTTTTATCTTTACAAGTACAGGATATATATAACTTCAGTGAACATAAGAGGGAAAAGATCCATGTTTTCCACTATATAGTAGGCAACTATTGTTGCTTCGAAGAAGCATGTAGTGAAGGACAAGAATCTTAATCGATCAGGAGTCAAGTCCACCTATACCCCCATAACAGATTAGCACCTTCCTCTCTTTCAACCAGTCAAACAAGAGACACAATACCGCAACCAGCTGTGGCACTTCAATAGGCCCACTTACATAGAAGGCATTAAGAAAATACCATGAATCCACGATTTAAGTATTAACAGGGAAACCTAGGGTAGCATATGCAAGAGATTTAGACATAACTGCAAATATAAGCTGGCTGACTAATCCGCTAAATATATGAACTGTTATCTTAGTGGTTACACTAGAGTCCAATAGTATAACAAGTTAACAACAAAATCATGATAAGCATAAATTGCCTACTTGATAACTTCCATCTTTCATTAATGTAAATGTTTGATATGACATGGAGTCCATAACAAAAATCATTACAAGCTCTAAATTATATATCCCTTTTTCAGTCAAATGAATGTAAACTACCAAATGCCCGTTATGGATTCGAACCCATCCAACTCCAGATAAAAAGACTGGATTTAAGTGGAAAAAGATAGAGGACTAGTCCATTATCCACGAGTTTTGAACCATACGTCACTGGCTCTCCGGGACTTCTCATTTTCAAGCAATTATATCAAGCAATTTTTCAAAGTAAATGTGCAGAATTTTAAAAACTAAAACTGAAACAAAGTAAAGATCAAGAGGTTTTGAAATGCCAGTAGAAATTACTTACATCAGGTGCAGAGATTTTCAACCAACTTGGTGGAGTCCTCTTGTACGGAAGTGCTGAGGCCGAA